TCCAGGAGCTGCGTTTTCAGTAATGAAGCTGATGCAGCACAAGACGCTCACCTCTGTCTCAGTTGTAGCTTCTCACCACATCGTGTTCCAGAGTGGGCCCCGAGTTTCCAGGTTCCCTCCTGTGGTCCCTTGTGGGGCCGGTCTGGTTCACCACCTTGATGTTGGGGTCAGTGTGGATGTGAATCTCTGACCTGAGCAGCTGATGGGAGGCATCCTTTAGTGCCGCTCTTGCCTGGTCCTGATTGGCTTGGAGGTCAGCTATCGCTTTGATGACAGTCTCCATGGCGTCCTTTGATGGCTGCTCTGACTTCAGGAAGGCTATGGAAGGCAGATGTGATGGGGGGGAAATGCCAGAGTCCATGCTCTCCTTGCCCAGGTCCCTGGGCACCACATGCAAAGAGGAACTGTCGTCAGGGAGCTGGCATTGGTGCAGTTGACAGCTCTTAATGGACAGCGTCCCTGATGACACTGGCTGAGGTTTAAGCTCAGGTGCACCCATCTGGTGGTCTTTAAAGAGCCAGGTCCTGCCTGGGGAAACTTCAGCGGCACTGCGCTACTGGCCAGGCCCTTGATGGGCACTGCCATTATGGGTGGTACCCTGGCGGGAAGTGGCCCTGTGGTCCTTGCTGGTGATTTGAACACACAGGGCCAATCCCCAGTGGCGCTGGACACATCTCCCTGGGAACTGGCAGTGAAGCACATGGGCTTCTCTGGGCCGGTGTTGGCAGGCTCTTGCCCAACACGCTGAGCTCACTAGCATCTTCCAAGGCACAGGCCTGTTTCTAACTGATGGCCCTCGTTGGCTCCTGTTTTGCCAGCTCCCCACTGCTAGTCCTGGTTGGCTCCCGTGTTGCCAGCTCTGCACTGCTGGTCCTGGTTGGCTCCTGAATTGCCAGGTCTCCACTGCTGGTCCTCGTTGGCTCCCGAGTTGCCAGCTCCCCACTGCTGGTCCTGGTTGGCTCCTGGGTTGCCAGCTCCCCACTGCTGGTCCTGGTTGGCTCCTGGATTGCCAGCTCCCCACGGCTGGTCCTGGTTGGCTCCCAGGTTGCCATCTCCCTACCGCAGAGGGGAAGGCTTAGTATCTTCCCTGCCAGGTCCCGCCTGCTGTCCATGCTACCTCCCACTCAGCCAGGTCCCCATCAGAGGTCTGGGTTGGTTCCCTCAGTGCCAGATGCCAGCTGTCTGACCTGGCTGTCTCCCTCAGTACCAGGGATGTGCTACCTATCTGGATTGGATCTCAAGACAGGCTGGCATGGAAAGTTGCCTCCGCATCTTTTAGTTTTTCACAATCACTCACACAATTACTTTCTACACAACAATCTACACAACAGATCACAATCACCTCACACCAACTCACTCTCCACTCACACAAGTGCTCGCTCCCCTTCACACCAGTGCTCGCTCCCCTTCACACCAACGCTTGCTCTACACTCTCACCAATGCTCGCTCTCCACTCACACAAACACTCTCGCCACTCACACCAGCACTTGTTTCCCACTCTGTCAGTGCTCGCTCCTCACTCACACCAACGCTCTCTCCCCAAACTTCCACCAATGATCCCTCTTTACTCTCATACAAATTGCTCCCCACTCACATCAATGCTTGCTCCCCACTCTGAAACCAACACTCACTCTTCACTCTCATACAAACCTCTCTCCATTCACACCAAAGCTCGCTCCCCACATACACTAGTGAACACTGTCCACTCATACTAATGCTCCCCACTTTACCACCAACACTCACTCTTAACTCACGCACAGTTCGCTTCCCAGTCACACACAACACTTGCTCCTTACTCAAACAAAAGCTCTCCACTCTTCCACTAATGCTCTTTAGTCGCTTTCACCATAGTGAATGCATGTGCAGGGCCACTGCACCTCCTTTTATAGGCGCACCCCCATTTGTGACCAGGAGGAGGGGCGGAGCAACAAGATCTCATGCGTGGGCATTGGCCCCAGTGTGTCTCTTGGAATGTGTAGGAATATTTTTCTTGAATCAAAAAGTTCTTTAGTTCCTATGGCGAGATTGGCTGCTCTTAAATTTAGCCCTGTAGATGGGCCTTGAAGTCCATGTTTCGGTACACATCAAGGAGTGCCTAGGTGATGCCGGACTTGGACTCCTACTGGCCATTGGGCCTCATGGTCTTGGTGCTGGATCTTAGCTTTCTCATTCTTTCTTCTTTCCTTCTATAGTGCCAGATTCAGTGACTTTCCACACCACACAGACTTTCTCTTTCTTGTTTATTTATAAATTGTTTGTGGCATCCCTAAATCTTCTAACCACCTCCTTAGAAAAGTGGAATCCTCTAAAAAGCAAGGACTCAACAGAAAAATGGGTACACTATAGCATATGCATAAAATTGAAATCTAAATGAATTATAATATTACTAATTTGAATAACACTCATAAACATGAACAAAGAAAGCAAATGGAATACATGGTGTGATATAATTCAACATGGTCATTAGGAGCACATATACACGTGTAGTCAAATGGTAAAGAAATACATGGGAATATAAAACACTTAATTCAAGTTAGTGCTTATTTTTGGAGCAAGAAACTGAGAGATGTGACTACCAGGCAGTTCCAAGGGAATTCAATTATAGGGTCTTTTCAAGGACTAGGAAAATGCCCAGAGAAGTAATCATCTGAGAGCTCTCAGCTGCCAATACTTCCAGCATCTGGGGAAATGGGTGTTCCTATCCCCAGGGGGATGGGAAGGGGCAACACAGAACCAAAAAATTCCTTGGTTCTCAAACTTGCGTGCACCTTAGAATCACCTGAGAGAGTAGCAAACTCCCAGAGCCCAGTCTGTGTGCCAGACCAAATAAGGCATACTCTCCATGAAGCTCTTTTTTTAAATTTATCTCTGTCTGTTGTTTTCTTTATGACTCCTTGAAATGCTGATTTTATTTTATTTTCTATTTGTTGCTAGAATGAACATTGAAGAACAATTTTTAAAAATATCCTCATTTTCTTGAATATCACACATTGCCAACGTTCTCTTGTGCTATACCAATTGGGCTATCATTAAAGCAGTTTATTGAGAATTTAGCATGCCTGATCTAAAGGAGACCTCTTCATTTGAGATGTTAATTTGTGACAATAATTATAGCTTGGGTAATATTTTATTAATCCAAGTAGGTTTTGTTTTTTCTTTTAATAATAAAAAGCTTGTTTGATAAACTCCATACTTAACAAAAAATAATTAAAACTAGAAGTTAAAAGAACATTGAGGGAGAGTCCTTTTATAATGCACTCTAAATAAGTTAATTTCATATACCAATAAAACAATTCAAGAAAATTATTTCCTCAATGATTTTTTATTAATAACAAGTTCAAATAAATCAGTCAAACAATGGCATACATGCAAAATAAAATAGAATGAAATAGACTAGGATAAAATGAGATAAAATAAAAGTGTATTGTAATTCTATGGATACGTCTATACTAATTTAAAATTCTTTTTGGAAGTCCATATATTTAAAAACAACTAGAACTAGGTAATAAAAAAAATAAGAGGAAAGAAAATGCCTAACCTCCAGTGAAACATTGTGGATATTTGTTAGTAGCCAAAGTTTTCTAACCAAGTTTATGCAACACCTTAAAAATGATTGCACTAGTCCTGGAATTACTGTGCATCAGTCTTGGTGTTTGGGTTGGGAGAAGAAGTTCTTGGGGTCTTTGGAGGACTGGCTTGTCGTGGAGGTCAGGGTTGTATCAAAGGTTGAGGATGAACCAGACCTCGGGATTGTATCAGAGGTCTGGGTTGTATCGGATGTTGAGGTTGTGCTAGAGGTCGAGGTTGTGCTGTAGGACGAGGCTGTAATGGAGGTTGTGCTGGAGGTCGAGGTGGTATCAGAGGCTGAGGTTGTGCCGGAAATCGAGGTTGTATCAGAGGTCGAGGTTGTATCAGATGTCGGGGTTGTATCAGAGGTCTGGGTTGTATCGGAGGTTGAGGTTGTGTTGGAGATCGAGGTTATGCTGGAGGTCGAGGTGGTATGAGAGGTTGAAATTGTGCCTTAGCACGAGGTTGTGCTGTAGGACGAGGCTGTAATGGAGGCCAGGGCTGTATCAATTGTTTCCCTTCATTGCTGACTCCATTGTTGCTGCTGCTTGGTAGTCTCTGGTGTCAAAAGTGCATTATGTTGGCCCGAAGCTCCCTGTTCTGCTGGGATGGTGCTTCCAGGTCCTGGCGGAGCCTCGCGCTGTGGGTGGGCAGAACCGCTGGCAGCTCAGCATCAAGCGGCCCCACCACCACCTTGGGTCCTGGGCCCTGCTCTTCTCCTCCGGCCTCTCTCTCTTTGAAAACACAGTGGCACCCGGGGCGCTTGAGCCTGTCTCCTCATGAGCTTTCCTGAGCGCATCCTGGATCATCTGGGTCTCCTTGGAGTGATACTTTTCGATGGTCTCTCACCTCACCTCTTCCCATTGCGGCTCCTAAATCTCCCTTTCCAGGAGCTGCGTTTTCAGTAATGAAGCTGATGCAGCTCAAGACGCTCACCTCTGACTCAGTTGTAGCTTCTCACCACATCGTGTTCCAGAGTGGGCACCCGAGTTTCCAGGTTCCCTTCTGTGGTCCCTTGTGGGGCCGGTCTGGTTCACCACCTTGATGTTGGGGTCAGTGTGGATGTGAATCTCTGACCTGAGCAGCTGATGGGAGGCATCCTTTAGTGCCGCTCTTGCCTGGTCCTGATTGGCTTGGAGGTCAGCTATCGCTTTGATGACAGTCTCCATGGCGTCCTTTGATGGCTGCTCTGACTTCAGGAAGGCTATGGAAGGCAGATGTGATGGGGGGGAAATGCCAGAGTCCATGCTTTCCTTGCCCAGGTCCCTGGGCACCACATGCAAAGAGGAACTGTCGTCAGGGAGCTGGCATTGGTGCAGTTGACAGCTCTTAATGGACAGCGTCCCTGATGACACTGGCTGAGGTTTAAGCTCAGGTGCACCCATCTGGTGGTCTTTAAAGAGCCAGGTCCTGCCTGGGGAAACTTCAGCGGCACTGCGCTACTGGCCAGGCCCTTGATGGGCACTGCCATTATGGGTGGTACCCTTGGGGGAAGTGGCCCTGTGGTCCTTGCTGGTGATTTGAACACACAGGGCCTATGCCCAGTGGCGCTGGACACATCTCCCTGGGAACTGGCAGTGAAGCACATGGGCTACTCTGGGCCAGAATTGGCAGGCTCTTGCCCAACACGCTGAGCTCACTGGCATTTGCCAAGGCACAGGCCTGTTTCTAACTGTTTGCACTTGTCCTAGAATTACTGTGCATCAGTCTTGAGGTTGGGGTTGGGAGAAGAGGTTCTTTGGGTCTTTGGAGGACTGGGTTGTCCTGGAGGTCGGGTTGTATCAGAGGTTGAGGTTGTACCAGACGTCGCAGTTATATCAGAAGTCTGGGTTGTACTGGAGTTTGAGGTTGTGCTGGAGGTCAAGGTGGTATCAGAGGCTGACGTTGTGCGGGACGTCGGGGTTGTATTAGAGGTCGAGGTTGGACCAGACGTGTGGGTTGTATCGGAGGTCTGGCTTGTATCGGAGGTTGAGGTTTTGCTGGAGGTCGAGGTTGTGCTGGTGGTTGAGATGGTATAGAGGTTGAAGTTGTGCTGTAGCATCAGGTTGTGCTGTAGAACGAGGCTGTAATGGAGACCGGGGCTGTATATGTTGCTTGCCTTAACCATGAAGTGCTTTTTCCACAGCTGCTGCTGCTGTCCTAGCCTCTGGTGTCACAAGGGCATTCGGTTGGCCAGAAGCTCCCTCATCTGCTGGGACGGTGCTGCCTGGTCCTAGCAGAGGCTCGCCCTGTGGGTGGGCAGGCCCGCCGGCAGCTGAGCATTGGGTGTCCCCACCGCCAGCTCTGGGGCCTGGGCCCTGCTCTTCTCTTCAGTCGCCTCTCTCTCTTTGAAAACACAGTGGCACCCGGGGCGCTTGAGCCTGTCTCCTCATGAGCTTTCCTGAGCGCATCCTGGATCATCTGGGTCTCCTTGGACCAGTTCTTCTTTTCAGGGGACTCTTGCCTCACCTTCTCCAACTGCGGCTACAACTGCTCCCTGTCCAGGAGCTGCGTTTTCAGTAATGAAGCTGATGCAGCACAAGACGCTCACCTCTGTCTCAGTTGTAGCTTCTCACCACATCGTGTTCTAGAGTGGGTCCCTAGTTTCCAGGTTCCCTCCTGTGGTCCATAGTGGGGCCGGTCTGGTTTGCCACCTTGATGTTGGGGTCAGTGTGGATGTGAAACTCTGACCTGAGCAGCTGATGGGAGGCGTCCTGTAGTGCCGCTCTTGCCTGGTACTGAGTGGCTTGGAGGTCAGCTACTGCTGTGATGACAGTCTCCATGGCATCCTTTGGTGGCTGCTCTGGCTTCAGGAAGGGTATGGAAGGCAGATGTCACTGCTGGCCCTGGTTGGCTCCCACGTTGCCAGATCCCTACCACAGTTGGGAAGGGTTGGTGTCTGCCCTGTCAGGTCCCTGCAGGCTGTCCATGATGCCTCCCCCTCAGCCAGGTCCCTACAAGAAATATGGGTTGGTTCTCTCAGTGCCAGATGCCAGATGTCTGACCTGGCTGTCTCCCTCAATTCCAAAGACCTGCCACCTGTCTGGGTTGGATCTCAGGACAGGCTGGCATGGAAAGTTGCCTCCGCATCTTTTAGTTTTTCACACTCACTCACACAATTACTCTCCACACAACAACAAATCACACTCGCCTCACACCAACTCACTCTTTACTCATACCAATGCTCACTCCCCTCACAACAACGCTCGCGCCCCACTCACACCAGCGCTCCCTCTCCACTCACACCAATGTCCCCTCACCACTATGCCACAAAGGCTCACTCTTCACTCTCATACAAATTGCTCTCCACTCACATCAATGCTTGCTCCCCACTCTGCCACCAATATTGACTTCACTGTTGCAAAAATCGCTCTCCACTCACACACAACACTAGCTCCTTACTCAAACAAAAGTGCTCCACTCTTCCACCAATGCTCTTTAGTTGCTTTAACCACAGTGAATGCATGTGAAGGGCCAGTGCACCTCTTTTTATATGCTCTCCCCATTTGTGACCCGGAGGGGAGCAGAGCAAACCCAACTCGTAAGTGGGCTTTGGCCCCAGTGTGTCCCCTGGTGTATGTAGGAACATTTCTCTTGAAACAAAAATTTTCCCTAGTTCCTATGGTGGCTTGGCTGCTCTTAGATTTAGCCTCATAGATGGGCCTTGAGGTCCGAGTTCCTGTACAACTCAAGGAGCGCCTAGGTGATGCCGGACTCGGACTCCAACTGGCCATTGGGCCTCATGGTCTTGGTGCTGGATCTTAGCTTTCTCATTCTTCTCCCCTCCTATAGAGCCAGATTCAGTGACTTTCCAGACCACGCAGACTTTCTCTTTCTTGTTTATTTATAAATTGTTTGTGGCATCCCTAAATCTTCTAACCACCTCCTTAGAAAAGTGGAATCTCCTCAAAGGCAAGGACTCATCAGAAAAATGGGTACACTATAGCATATGCATAAAATTGAAATCTAAAGAATTAGAAAGTTATTAGTGAGAATAACACTTATAAAAATGAACAAATAAAGCAAGAAGAATATATGGTGTGATATATTTCAACCTGGTCATTAGGAACACATATACACGTGTAGTCAAAGGTTAAAGAAATACATGGGAATGCAAAACACCTAATCCAAGTTAGTGCTTATCTTTGGAGCACTGAATTGAGAGATGTGACTAGCAGGCAGTTCCAGGGAAATTCAATTCTACGGTCTTTTAAAGGACTAGGGAAATGCCCAGAGAAGTAATCATCTGAGAGCTCTCAGCTGCCAATACTTCCAGCATCGGGGGAAATAGGTGTTTCTATCCCCAGGGGGATGTGAAGGGGCACCACAAAACCCAAAAATTCCTTGGTTCGCAAACTTGCCTGCACCTTAGAATCACTTGAGAGAGTAGCAAACTCCCAGAGCCCCGTCTGTGTGCCAGACCAAATAAGGCATACTCTCCATGAAGCTCTTTTCTTAAATTTATCTCTATCTGTGGGGTTTTTTTTGACTTCTTGAAATGCTGATTTTATTTTCTATTTGTTGCTAGAATGAACATTGAAGAACAATTTTTTAAAATATCCACCTTGTATCCTTCATTTTCTTAATTTCACACATTGCATATGTTCTCTTGTGCTATACCCGTTGGGGGACCATGAAAGCAATTTATTGAGAATTTAGCATGCCTGATCTCAAGGAGACCACTTCATTTGTGATGTTAATTTGTGACAATAATAGCAGCTTGGGTGATGTTTTATTAATTCAAGTAGCTTTTGTTTTTTTAATGCTATAAAGCTAGTTTGATAAACTCCATACTTAATAAAAAATAATTAAAACTAGAAGTTAAAAGAACATTGAGGGAGGGTCCTTTTATAATGCACTCTAAATAAGTTAATTTCATATACCAATAAAACAATTCAAGAAAATTATTTCCTCAATGATTTTTTATTAATAACAATTTCAAATAAATCAGTCAAACAATGGCATACATGCAAAATAAAATAGGAAAAAATAGACTAGGATAAAATGAGATAAAATAAAAGTGTATTGTAATTCTATGGAAAAGTCTATTCTAATTTAAAATTCTATGAAGTCCATAATATATATAAAAACTAGAACAAGGTTAAAAAAAAATTTAAAAAAAATACCTAACCTCTAGTGAAGCATTGTGGATATTTGATTGTAGCAGAAGTTTTCCTAACCAAGTTTATGCAACACCTATAAATGGTTGCACTAGTCCTGGAATTACTGAGCATCAGTCTTGAGGTTGGGGTTGGGAGAAGAGGTTCTTGGGGACTTTGGGGACTGGGTTGTCCTGGAGGTCATGGTTTTATCAGAGGTTGAGGTTGAACCAGACATCGGGGTTGTAGGGAAGGTCTGGGTTGTATCAGATGTTTAGGTTGTGCTGGAGGTCGAGGTGGTATCAGAGGCTGAGGTTGTGCCGGAAATCGAGGTTGTATCAGAGGTCGAGGTTGTATCCGATGTCGGGGTTGTATTGGAGGTCTGGGTTGTATGGGAGGTTGATGTTGTGCTGGAGATCGAGGTCATGCTCGAGGTTGAGGTGGTATGAGAGGTTGAAGTTGTGCCCTAGCACGAGGTTGTGCTGTAGGACGAGGCTGTAATGGAGGCCGGGGCTGTATCAATTGTTTCCCTTCATTGCTGACTCCATTGTTGCTGCTGCTCGGTGGTCTCTGGTGTCGAAAGCGCATTTTGTTGGCCCAAAGCTCCCTGATCTGCTGGGATGGCACTGCCAGGTCCTGGCAGAGCCTCGCGCTGTGGGTGGGCAGGTCCGCTGGCAGCTCAGCATCAAGCAGCCCCGCCACCACCTCCGGGTCCTGGGCCCTGCTCTTCTCCTCCGGCCTCTCTCTCTTTGAAAACACAGTGGC